AGGATTGCCCAACCTTCCTTCCGAGGAGTGGCTGGTGGGTTTGAACCGCCAGCTGTCTGGTTAGCAGGCAAGTGTTGTAGCCACTATGCTACCAGAGCTCCTAAGAACATTATTAGTAGTTATTATTCTAACTTTTTGATGAATAACTGGAATTGAAAAAATACCAAATATATCAGAATATTATGTCATAATATAGGGAATCTATTCTAAGGCCTTTGACTGCTCACCAGAAGGCTGGTGGTTCAAACGCACCAGCCACTCCTGGGAAGGAAGACTGGGCAATCTACTTCCATAGAGATACTGCCTTGGAAACCCAAGGTGGGTTTGCTATGAGTCGGCACTGACTTGATGGCAGTGAGAGTAGTGAGTATTTAATAATGTATAATTGATATATAATATTATATGCTGTATAATATTAAATGGCCCAAGCTCCCTAGAGCCAGGAAAGGGAGGGAACAGGAGAGGCCGGGGACCTCCGGAGCATCAGGATATCCAGGTAAAAAGGGGCGGGAAGCAAGGCTAGTCCCCAAACCCCCTAGAGGCAGGAAAGGGAGGGAGCAGCCAGGGACCACAAAGTAGCAGGTTCCAGGTAGGAATTAAGCAAGTGGAGGGCGTAGAGGTGTCCAACAGCTAAAGGAGACAGTTTTGCCTGTTAGTTTGTCGTCTTGTGAGACTTGTACGTTGCTGTGAGGCTTGAGGCTGTGCCACTGGTGTTTCAGATGCCAGCAGAGTTGCACATGGTGCACAGGTTTCAATGCAGCTTTACAGACTAAGATAGACTAGGAAGAAGGAGGAGGCCATCCACTTCTCAAAAATTGGCCAGGGAAATCCTTATGAATAGTAGAGAAGCACTGTCTGATACATTACTGGGCAACTTTATGAATAGCTTGGAAACATTGTCCAACACAGTGCAGGACGACAAGGCCCTTGGGTCAGAAGGCACTCAAAATAGGACTGGGAAAGAGCTGCCTCCTCAGAGTAGAACCAACCTTAATGATGTGGATAAAGTAAGTCTTTCAGGACCTCCATGTGCTGACATGGCATGACTCAAATTGAAGAGAAACAGCTGCGAACTTCCATTAATAATCGGAACATGGAATGTACAAAGTATGAATCTAGGAAAATTGGAAGTTGTCAAAAATGAAATGGAATACAAAAAGATTGATATCCTAGGCATCCTGGACAATGAATCAGGAAGACCAAAGAAGAATTTATGCTTTTGAGCTGTGGTGTTGGTGAAGAATGCTGAAAGTACCATGGACTGCTAAAAGAACTAACAGGTCTGTCCTGGAGGAAGTGCAGCCAGAATGCTTCTTGGAGGCGAGAATGGCCAGACTTTGTCTCACCTACTTTGGTCATGTTATCAGAAGGGACCATTCCTTGGAGAAGGATGTCATGCTTGGCAAGCTGAAATGGACAGGTTTTGGGCATTTTGAATCAGACAACCATATGATCTACTATCCTGGGAATGACAAATTGAAGAGGAATGGCATGGCATTCGTCATCACAAAGGATGTTTCAAGATCTGTCCTGAAGTACAATGCTGTCAGTGATAGGGTAATATCCATACCTGTACAAGGAAGACCCACTAATACTACTATTATTCAAATTTATGCACCAACCACCAAAGCCAAAGATGAGGAAACTGAAGATTTTTATCAACTTCTACAGTCTGAAATTGACCGAACATGCAATCAAGATGTGTTGCTTATCACCAGTGATTGGAATACAAAAGTTGGAAACAAGAATCACTGATAGTTGGGAAATTTGGCCTTGGTGACAGTAATAATGTTGGAGATCACATGGTAGAATTTTGCAAGGTCAGCAACTCATTCAGTGCAAATACCTTTTTTCAACAACACAAACAGTGGTTATACACATGGACTTTGCCAGATGGAGTACACAGGAATCAGATTGACTACATCTGTGGCAAGAGGCGGTGGAAAAGTTCAATATCTGCAGTCAAAACAAGGCCAGGAGCTAACTGTGGAACAGACCATCAACTGCTTATATGCAAGTTCAACTTGAAGTTGAAAACAATTAAAAGAAGTCCATGAGAGCCAAAATATGACCTTGAATATATCCCTCCTGAATTTAGAGACCATCTAAAGAATAGATTTGATGCATTGAACACCAGTGACCACAAACCAGAAGAATTGTGGGATGACATCAAGAGCATCATCCATGAAGAAAGCAAGAGGTCATTTAAAAGCCAGGAAAGAAAGAAAAGACTAAAATGGATGTCAGAAGAGATGCTGAAACTTGCCCTTGAGTGAAGAGTAGCTAAGCAAATGGAAGAAATGACAAGATAAAAGAGCTGAACAGAAGATTTCAAAGAGCAGCTCGAGTAGACAGAGTCAATTGCTGTAATGAAATGTGCAAAGACCTGGAGTAAGAAAACCAAAAGAGAAGAAAACACTCGACATCTCTGAAGCTGAAAGAAGTGAGGAAAAAATTCAAGCCTCGAGTTGCAATACTGAAAGTTTCTATGGGTAAAATATTGAATGATGCAGGAAGCATCAAAAGAAGATGAAAGGAATACACAGAGTCACTGTACCAAAAAGAACTGGTCAGTGTTCATCCATTTTGGGAGGTGGCATATGATCAAGAACCAGTGGAATAGAGGGAAGAAGTTGAAGCTTCACTGAAAGAATTGGCAAAGAACAAGGCTGCTCCAGGAATTGACCGAATACCCATTGAGATGTTTCAACAAATGGATGCCCTGCTGGAGGCACTCACTCGGTTATGCCGAGAGATTTGGAAGACAGCTATCAGGCCAACTGA